AATCACAAAAGTATGTTTGTTAGGCAGAAACACCTATGTGTGGTGTATGTTGGTATAATTACTAACAATCTGCGTAAACGAAAAATACTTACTTGTTTGTCAAAAAGAGGAATTGTGAAAAACACAAAGAACGATCGAGGCTTGCCAAAGCAATTCCCTTAAGACAATATTTCCGGGCTGTTAACGGTGCACAGTCTCTTCCCGGTAGTCTCCCAAGGTACAACGATCGGTTGTCAAATATTTGCACGAATATTCGACCCACGGTGAACTTGAACAACGAAGGAAACTTTGACGAACAAAAAGAAGAATATGAAGAATTATCTCTTAATTGCCGATTAAATTCAGTACAGAATTGGCCAGATTCTACCTTTATTTATAGGCGGTAGAGATCTATTCATGGAGGGATGCAATGGTTGGAAGAAGAAGCAGAATGTTGTGTCTGTTCTTTTCACCGAGTTCAAAACGTAGGAAAATTAATTGGTCATGAGCCAATTAATTAAATATTTGGTTTGGGCCAAATATTTTATTATTTAGATTTTGGGTCAACTAATTTGACTAATTAGTAAATGTCCCCAAAAGTAATATTAGTGGACACCTAAACGCAAACTAGTCCTATCACTCGATCACATCGAGCGCACATCTTTTGAACTTTAACCATTTAATCAAGACAATTTTCATTCACTTTACTTCATGATTATGATCAAGTAAATAAATGAAATTAATCTTTACATAGTTAATTAAGTTGCACCATTATTTGTGATGCCGTACAAGTTTTATGCATATTGGCTCTTCCAAAACTTATTCAACAGTTTGGCATAGTGAATGGAGTCAGAAATGGAATGTGGGTTCAATCGGAGGATGAATCTATGAAATTTTGTACTAATCTTTTCCATTCTCAAATAATTACTTCTCCTCCGCCTTTCGAAGATTAGAATAATATAGCTTTGAGGCTGGAAAAAGGAAATATTGGAATAGATTTTAGCTGCCTTGCTACCAAAATGTGGTATTCATTGCAAATTTACGATTTTATTGACGTACGATTAAATCGATTGGGCACCGGCACTGCGCATTGCACGGTGCACCCACCCCTAGTATATATATAACCCTCAATATTTCGGAGTACGGTATGGAATAAAATATTACATTCAATTTATGGCCACGCCTGCACTAAAACCATATTGTCTGTTGGTGTTTCATCGTAACCAGAAAAGACACCGTGTTTGTTCGCTGCATAAGTAAATGTGTGATGATATGCCTCTTCCCAGCCATCCTTGTACACATCGAAAGCAATCGTCTTTTGGCCCCACCAAAATCGACAAAAGAAAAGAGTATTTCTCCAAAAGTTGCTTCTAAACGACCAATTGAAATCCTGACCAGTATAAAGAAGACGATATCCAAGATCGTCATTTTTAGACGCACAATGAACTGTTATTGTCGGGGTACCTTCCGGCATACGATTAAAAATTTTAATTACATGCCTCCTCATAGCTTCACTCTCATGACAAAAGTTCAATGATAAAATAATTAAGAAAAGTATAGTGATACTTGGAGGAGACATGATTGAACTAGTGATTTGTAATTGTGTGTGGTTATATTTTTTTTGCCCCATCATTTTATAGCCACCTATTTGCATGAAATTAGTAGGAGAATAAATTAAATACTAATTTTAAGGGTCTTGATTTCCCTTGACTACGATTGTCATTCAACACTATAATTAACAACATAATTTATGGAATCTAATTACCTTAATTTTATATAATACATATTTTAACAAATTTGAATGACATTATGATTACAAATACTCAAAATAAGGATGGTGCCTTCAAGATGTTTTTTTAATTGAGATGAAATAATTAAATAATAATATCATGAATTGATAATACTACAGTAGTAATAAGTATACTATTACTAAATAATATTTAGACCAATACAAAAGATTAGGGTTTTAAAGTATAATTGTATAAAATTAATATTTAAGTTTAATCAATATATTATTTCTAGATATATGTATTCTAGCTATTCTAATTCAACAACTAACTACATATATAACTATGTAAATTGAATTAAATAAATTAATTCAACCATCCATACAGCTGGGTTACGGTTGGACAGGTTCAACCGGGGTCCAACCGGGTTTTTACTTATTTTGTATTTTGTATTATATTTATAAATAATTTTTAAGTGATTATCTTAGAAACATATTTTTAAAATAAAATACTTATCTTTAACATGAATTTAAAAGATTTAAGTTAACTATTAATTAATATCATTGAATATTGGAAAAAATAAATAAATAACTAATTATACGTAAACTAAATAAACCATTTGAAGATTTTTTTATTTTTTTTCTTCCTAACAGGAACCAATGGAATAAATTAGAATTGATTAATATACAGTAAGACCCACCTAAATTTGTATGAGTTGTATGTATATTTGTGGCTATTTTTTTGCCAATCACTTTTTCCCATTTAAGAAAACAAACAAAAAAAAAAAGAAAAAATAAACCCTACTCTTCTTCCACTGCCATACTAGACCAGAAGTCCAATCTCTCATCTTCAACAAACAATAAATTTCTTTGCTCTAATGATTTCGTAGAAATCCATAAAATTCATTTTCGTTGTTAAAGGCCACTGCTGCACCAGATATAAATATTTTTTTTTACATAATAGCAATTTTCACAAAAACCCGGTTTTCGATCCGGTTTCCGGTTTCCCGGTTTTGATCCTTCAGACCCCGGTTTTGACATTTTTCGGGTTTAGCTGTCTAACCGGACCGGATTGGTGAGCAGTTCCCGGTTGAACCGGTCGGACCGGCCGTCCGGTCCGGTTTTCAAAACATAGCTCATTAATTAAACTAGTATTTCTCCCCGTGCGATGCACGGGGTGATATTCAAAAAAGTAAAAAAGAAAAAAATAACTTCAACACGTGACATTAAAATAAGTATGTTTGAAGAAAATATTAAGCGAAAAATAATCTATGATTTGAAGAGGAAGACAAAGTTACAAAAATATAATTAGCGATTTCGTAGAAACATAAAAAGTTTAATTTTTTTCACAAAGACGTCATTGACAAAAAAAGGGGAATAACAAATAGAGTTAAGAAAAATTAATAATTAGAAAAATAAAAATAGTTACAAAGATGTTATTTGTTCGACCCTACACCCGGTGATAAACACCGGGTGAGTCTTCTGCCGCCACGTGTCTCTTTTTTGTATTTTATAATAGATTCCCCGCTAGGGTTTACCTCTAGGGGTTTTAGAAAAATAAAAAAAGGAACACGTGGCAGCAGAAGACCCACCCGGTGTTTATCACCGGGTGTAGGATCGAAGGAACCCAAAGATGTAAGAGAAAAAAAATACAACTGAATAACAAAGAATGTTTAAAAAAATAAAAAATAAAGATGATAGGTCCCAGTTTGTCAACCTAGCCATTTGTAATGGGCCTAGGAGCGAGAAGAGCAGCCCACAGAGAAATTGGGCCAATGGGAACGAAATGCGTGATAACTAAGCCCAAATATCGAGCAAAGCTCAGCTCATAAATTAAGATATGGTTTTCTCTCCAAGGCGCTCAAACAGGGCCCAGTGGAATTGGACTTGGGCTAGAAAACAAGGCTCAAGCAAGTTAATGGGCGACCGAAGCCCTCGTGATTAAGGCTGGGAGAATTGCAAGAGGGCGCGATTTCAACATGAGAATAAGATGGAGAAGCAATCAGATCTTCTATATAAGGCCCAAAATCAAGACCAAAGAAGAAGGACGGGAGTAATAGACGTAATCTGCCCCCTTGATTGCCGAGAAACAATTAGCTTATAAAAACCTTTGTAACCCTCGTCCCAGGAGGACACAAGAAAAATATACTCAGGAATAAATAAAGAAAAAGAGAGAATAAAAAAGAAATAAATAAATATTTTTATAGAATTTCTACCAGGAAATCCATAACTAGGGCCTTGGTGGAAAATTCTTGAGGGTGCGAACTTTCGACACCCTCAAGTGGCGCCGTCTGTGGGAAACACGAGTCGGAACTAAGGCGTGAGCAACATCATGAAGGGAGAAGGCATCACGAAACGGTTAGAAACCGAATTAGGGACTAAAACTCCTCCCACCAAAAATTCGAGAGATATCATGGATGTGTCCCCACAGGAGATCCTCCCGAATAATACATCTGTAGGCGAAATGTCCGATCGGAGCAAGCTAAGCAACAAGGAGGCTCACGGGGTTAAAACTAAAGAAACCACTCAAAATCTCATGGATCTGTTAGACCAGCAAATCGCTTTGGGCGTAGAACAACGGAGACTAGCAATACATAAAGAAGAAATCCACAAGCTCGAAGGCGAACTAAAGGAGGCTCGAGAATGCGAAAAGAAAGAAGCGACGGCCGCAGAAAAAAATGCGAGGGAGGAAGAATATTTATCGGCCCAGATCGCTGCTAAAAAAGAAAGCATCCGGAAGCTCGAGCAGGAACGCGAGAATGGCGTTCTTCGAATGGAAGGTATGAAGAAGGAGCTCGCTCAGTTACGAGAACGACGAACACATACCCGGGGAGGGCCGCCATCTAGCATGCCACGAGAAGGGCGAATACACGTAGATCTTTCGGAAGGAAAAGGAGATAGCTTCAGTTCCATGGATCAAGAAGATGCGACTAAAGAAAGAAGAAACGCTAGGGAGGTAAGGCAACACCATGTTAATCGACCGATGGATATCGTAGAAGCCGGACCGTTCGCGTGGAATATCTTGCAAGATCCGTTGCCGTCCACATTCACCCCTGTAGGTTTTTTTTATGATGGGATAGGCGATCCTTTGGACCACCTGTACCGGTTCAAAAGTATAACAACACTGCATCTGTATACGGATGGAATATGATGCCGCGTATTCACCACCACGCTAATAAAGAATGCCCAACTTTGGTTCAACAGCCTGCCCAGGGAGTCCATCACCTCATTCGAGGATTTTAGCACGAAATTTCTGCGCAACTTCTCAAGTTCAAAAAAACAGCAGAAAACGGCGATGGTGCTATTCAGACTTAAGCAAAGAGAAAGGGAAGATCTGCGCGAATACGTGAAGCGTTTCTCCGCAGAGAAGTTAGAAATCCCTGTGACGCCTCCCGAAATCCTCGTCAGCGCTTTTATCCAGGGATTGCAAGATGGAGATTTCTTCCGATCATTAGCCAAAAGAAACGCCTCGACCTTCGCAGAATTGTTGGAACGCGCAGAAAAATACATCAATTTGGAAGAATGTCGCAAGATGAAAGATGGAGAACGTACTAGAGACATGGGAAGCGGCGACAAACGCATTGCACGGGCTCCACACAGAGGCAACGAACAATTTCGAAATAATGTTCGTTCATTAATGGAAATACAAGAAGAACAGCCGGAGACACGTTACTCCCCTAGTGCGAGAAGGAGCAACCAGTTCCTTGCATCAGGAGGACCCAGATTCAAGATAGGAGATCCCCGTTTCGACAGGTATGCGGAGCTCGCTTTACCCAAATCTGTTATTCTCGAGCGTATAGGCAAACACCCCAAACTACGATGGCCAAGGGGGCATAGCGAACCACCAAGGGGAACAGCAGTCGCGAGCGGATATTGTCACTTCCATAATGATTATGGTCATGATACCAATGAGTGCTTCACCTTGCGAGACGAATTAGAAAGGTTGGTGCGATTAGGAGCCCTGTCGGAATATGTCATGGAAGAAAGTTCTAAAGGAAGAGGGGATAGCGAGAAAAGGCGAAGAGATGGAGAAGATGAGGCAGAACCTATAACAAAAAGAGGGTTCATCAGTATGATCATTGGCGGCCCGACAGACGGAGATTCAAACCGAGCGCGACGTTATCGTCTTCAAACCATCAAGAAAGCCGAAATCAACCAAATTAGCGTCAAGGCTGAAGCTCACCCCATTATTTACTTCGGGCCTCACGATTGCTGCGCCCTAGACACACCGCATGCAGATGCACTAGTAATAACCTCTAACGTTGCTGGTTATGATGTCTCGAGGGTCTTCGTGGATAATGGCAGCTCGGTGAAAGTTCTATTTTATGATTGCTTACAGCGCATGGACCTCGAGGTGGACGTCGTACCAGTATCCACAATGTTATATGGTTTCAATGGAGGATCAGTTCGTCCGTTGGGCCAAGTGAAACTTACGGTGTCTCTAGGAACGAACCCGCTCGTGAAAATCAAAGCGGTTAATTTTATGGTAGTAGATGCGCCAGAATCCTCGTATAATATGATCATCGGGAGGCCCTTGATTAATACCTTCCGGGCGATACCCTCAACATACCACATGAAGATGAAATTCCCGGTAGGGAATGAAGTCGGAGAGGTCATTGGAGACCAAACGAGTTCGCGATCATGTTACGTGGAATCAGTTCGTCAAGGGGAAAAGAACAAAAGGGGCAGAGAATCGCAAGGCGGAACCATAGATGGAAAGAAAGTACGAACCAACACAGCGGAGGCAACGCCGACCCACACTAGCACCAGCGAAGAACTTATAGAGGTCGAAGTGATACCCGATCGCCCAGAATGCATCACGCGAATAGGGTCTAGTCTGGATGGAGAAATGAAGGAGCAGCTGATTGGTTTGTTGCGAGATAATTCGGACGTATTCGCATGGAAGTCGGAAGATCTCACTGGAATAGACCCAAGCATCATGGTCCATAAGCTGCACATTAACACGAAGGTTCGACCAGTGAAACAAAAGAAGAGGCATTTCGGAGCCATCAAAGATGCTATCATCAAAGAGGAGGTGGACAAACTCCTGCAAATCGGACACATACGCGAAATCCAATTCTCTGAATGGCTTTCAAACGCTGTTCTAGTAGCCAAGCCAGGCGGTAAATGGCGTATGTGCATAGATTTTCGGGACCTCAACGCCGCATGCCCTAAAGATCACTATCCGCTCCCCAGGATAGGTCAGCTGGTAGATGCTACAGCAGGATGCGAATTATTGACCATGATGGATGCATCGCAAGGATATTACCAAGTCAGACTAGACGTCATAGACCAACCTAGGGGTGGGCATTCGGGTCGGGTCGGGTTATTCGGGTTATTCGGGTCGGGTTATTCGGGTTTTTTGCAAAAAAAATATTACCCGAACCCGACCCGAGATAACCGGGTACCCGGCAACCGGGTACCCGGTTATTTCGGGTCGGGTTCGGGTCGGGTTCGGGTTTTGCTATATATTCTAAGTTTTTTTTTTTGATTCCATTTTTGAAAAATAAATAGTAAATATATATATATATATATATATATATATATATATATATATATATATATATATATATATATATATATATATATATATAAATCTCTCGCGGGCAGTGATCGGGTGTATTTATGAATATATATTTATATAGTTATATATAGATATATATTTATATATATATATATATATATATATATAGAGAGCGCACACACATATATATATATATACAGAGAGTTTATTTATATATATATATATATATATATATATATATATATATATATATATATATATATATATATATATATATATATATATATATATATATATATATATATATATATATATATATATATATATATATATATATATATATATATATATATATATATATAAAATTCAACCGGGTACCCGATCGGGTAACCCGGTAGGATTTCTAATACCCGGACCCGACCCGGTTTGGGAGCACCGGGTACCCGAACCCGGAAAAAACCCGGTTTCATAAAAAATTACCCGATCCGGTCGGGTAATACCCGACCGGGTCGGGTTATACCCGAATAACCCGACCCGAATGCCCACCCCTAGACCAACCTAAGGTTAGTTTTATCACATCGGGGGGCACATACTGTTATCAAGTTATGCCATTTGGTTTAAAAAATGCGGGTGCGACATACCAAAGGCTAGTAGACAAGGTGTTTGCTAAGCAATTAGGGCGAAATCTAGAGGTGTATGTAGATGACATGCTGGTAAAAAGTCGCAAAGCCACGTCACACCTAGATGACCTCGCAGAAACCTTCTTAACACTGCGGAGATATGGCATGAAGCTGAATCCTGCTAAATGCTCTTTCGGAGTCTGCACCGGAAAATTCTTGGGATATATGGTCACTAAACAGGGCATAGAAGTTAACCCGGAAAAAGTGAAGGCGATCACGGCAATGACTGCCCCAAGGACAATCAAAGAAGTACAAACGCTGGCGGGGAAAGTCGTAGCACTCAGTCGGTTTGTATCACGACTCGCCGAACATAGTTTTCCTATTTTTCGAGCATTACGAAAGGGGAAAGAGTTCGCCAGGACGAAGGAATGCCAAACCTCCTTCGAGAATCTGAAACAGGTCCTTTCGAAACTCCCTTCGCTATCTCCCCCAGAAGAAGGAGAAACTCTCTGCATGTACCTAGCTGCGGGGAGTGAGTCCATCAGCTCGGTATTGTTCAGAGAGAAAGATAAAAGACAGTTGCCCGTGTATTATGTAAGTAAAATCTTACAAGGCGCCGAACTTCGCTATCCCGAGGTCGAAAAGGTTGGTCTGGCACTCATCACAACAGCAAGGCGATTAAGGCCATACTTTCTATCCCATACTATAATAGTAAGAACCAGCTATCCTCTACGACAGACGTTGGGGAACGCCGAAGCATCTGGGCGCATGGTCAAATGGGCCGTGGAATTAGGCCAGTACAATATCGAATACGAGCCCCGGACCGCAATAAAGGGGCAGGCGCTGGTGGATTTTCTATAGGCAACTACGCGCATTGAGAACTCACAGCCATGGGAAGTATATGTGGACGGATCCTCCACAAATCAAGGCGCAGGAGCAGGTGTGTTGCTTATAAAGCCCAACAAAGAAGAGTTCCACTTCGCTATAAAGTTTAATGTTAGAGCATCAAATAACGAAGCCGAATACGAGGCCTTGGCGCAAGGACTAGAGATAGCACAAAAAATGGGAATAAAAAAAGCCAAAGTTCACTCCGACTCTCAATTAGTCGTGCAACAACTAGCGGGGGAATATGAGATCAAAGAAGTACGAATGGAAGCATATGTGAAAGTTATCAAAACATATGTCGAAAGCTTTGAAGAGTGCGAAATCATCCAGATCCCGCGAGAATCAAACACACAAGCTGATTTCTTGTCCAAAATTGGCAGTTCATCCGTGGACTGCAGCGAGCGGAATATAACCATATTATCAGCTAACGGACGCTTCTTAGGAAGTAATGGTGAAAAACTTGTTGCAAGGGTAGAAGATCAGGAAGATTGGCGAACACCAATCATTACTTATCTCAAAGGGAATACAATCTCAGACCGCCGCACGCGAGAACGAATGGAATACAAGGCCCGGCACTTCTATTTAATAGGCGAAACCCTGTTTAAAAGATTGTATTCGCATGTAGATGCCAGATGTCTAGGAAGCAGCGAAGATGAGTATGTGCTGAAAGAAGTACATGAAGGATGGTGCAGCAACCATGAAGGGGCGAGAACTATAGTACAAAAGCTATTGAGGGCGGGATACTACTGGCCCACAATTAAGATGGAAGCCACGCAATATGTAAGACGATGCCCTAATTGTCAAGCACATGCCATCGTAGCACGTCAGCCAGGGGAACCCATGAAAATCATATCGTCACCGTGCCCTTTCGCGCAATGGGGGATAGATCTGGTGGGCCCCTTTACCATGGCGATTCGCAGAAAGAAGTACCTGATCGTAGCCGTAGACTATTTTACAAAATGGGTAGAGGCCGAGGCGTTATCGCGAATCACTGAAGATGAGGTGATGAAATTTATTTGGAAAAACATTTGTTGCCGTTTCGGAGTCCCTAGAATTATTATATCGGATAACGGCACGTAGTTCAATGGTAAAAAGATAACGGAATGGTGCACAGAGATGAAGGTCGCCCAACGTTTCACATCTGTGGCACACCCACAGGCAAACGGGCAAGTCGAAGTAATCAACAGAATCTTGGTGGACGGTATAAAGAAACGCATGGAAAAGGCAGGCGGTAGTTGGGTAGAAGAATTAGACTCGGTTCTATGGTCTTACCGGACATCACCTAAAAGGGCTACCGGAGAGACACCTTTCAGTTTAGTTTATGGGATGGAAGCGATTGTGCCTGCCGAGATAGGCTTGGAATCGTTAAGGGTTCGCGAATACGATGACAGAGAGAATGAAGAAATGATGCGAGAACACTTAGATCTTTGCTACGAAAAGAGAGAAGCAGCAGACTTGAAGATGAGAGATAGCAAAAATCGCATCAAAGTCAGCTACGACCGAAGAGTCAATCCGAGAAGTTTTCAAGTAGGCGATCTTGTACTGCGACGAGCCGATGCACTGAAACCCACGGGCAAGCTAGAGGCTAATTGGGAAGGTCCCTACACAGTAACGAAGGTCGCAGCGAGTGGCGCCTACGAGCTACAAGATCGAAAAGGCAAAAAAAATACCAAGAACATGGAATGTATGCCACCTTAGGAAGTTCTACGCATAACAGGTCGCAATTACAGGTTAGCAAAAAAAAAAAATGTAATTCTCCTCAATAAGTGAATCTTTTCGCACATGGGCCTCGGCCCCGTGGTTTTTCCTCTCACTTCGAGAGGTTTCCACGTAAAAAAAATCTTGCGTGTGTCTCTTTTTGTTTTATTGCAAAAAAAAAAAAAAAAAAAAAAAAAAAAAAGAAAAAAGGGTTGGAAGATCCCCGTGGCTACGGCCCAAAAAGTAGTCGCGGGCATATAGAAAGGGTTGGAAGATTCCCGTGGCTAAGGCCCAAAAAGTAGTCGCGAACATATAGAAAGGGTTGGAAGATCCCCGTGGCTAAGGCCCAAAAGGTAGTCGCGAACATATAAAAAGGGTTGGAAGATCCCCGTGGCTAAGGCCCAAAAGGTAGTCGCGAACATATGAACAGGGTGGCTCCGGCCCGAAAGATAGATGCGAGCATATAGAAAAGGGTTAGAAGATTCCCGTGTTTTTTGACCCGAAAGGTAGCAATGATAGTACGAAAAGCCAAAAAAAAAAAAAAAAAAACAAAGCTCGCGACGCGATCCCGGAGAACCTGGAGAGATCAACCGTCTCATGCGAGCCAGCCCATCAACATACATAACGACACGCCATACTAACATAAACAAATCGCAAGGTATGAAAACACATCTCATAAGCTAGAAAAGATAGCATAGATGGAATATTAGTTTAGGACAGCAAAAAAAAAAAAAAAAAAAAAAAAAGAGAGAAAAAAGAAGAACACAGAATGTTTAAACTCCTACAGATTTTAAGGGAAACTACCCCTAATCTATGCGGGTGACCCTTCGGCGAGATCATCCGGAGTCGCACCACCTTCATCATCAGCAGGGTTATAAGCGTCAACAGCATCTCCCAGAGCATCCTCTTCAGTATCTCTTCCAACAACCGCCGCCGTCGAAGGACCAGCCTGCTCGGATGGGCGAGGACATAGTTGGTTCGCAACGGATGAGAAGATTGGCGTCCACCAAGTTAAGTTCGCGGGCTTAGAAGGATCTCCTCCCCAACCGGGAATGTTCTGACTGGCTTTCTTTGACATCTCTTTTTCATCTAGCTTCAGCGAGAACCCCGCAACATCGATCTCCGCTTGTGCAACCCGAATCCCTTCTGACCAGAAAAATTTGGAAACGGGAAGAGCCCTCCGGAAGAAAAGCATGGATTTCCAAAGTCTCGCCAGAAAAGCCTTCACAAACTCGTCCCTAAACCGCTCTCCAAGGGGAGTATGAAGGAACTCCATCCGACCCAAACGGCGACCCTCTTCATATCGCAGAGAACTGTTGTCCATGGCTTCAGATAGTTGGCTAAGAGTATGCTTATGCTCCTCCTCCATCAAAGCCATCTTATCTTTAAGCGAGTCGACCTCCACGCGCAAGTTGCTCAGGTCTTCTTCCAACCTTTCGTTTCGCTTCTCCACCAGCTGTTTCTCGTCATTCAGCTGCTTGCGATCTTTCTTCAACCGGTTATATGCCTCGCGAAGGGTATCACTTCGCTGGGAAGGGCAGGTGGGCTACAATGTTTACAACTGTACAAGGACTAGAATGGTGAGAACATAATCCTTCGCAAAAAAAAAAAAAAAAAAAAAAAGAAGAAGTGAAATAGCCGACGTACCTTGGCCAAATGGTAATTAGAACGGTCGATGCGATGATCCAAGCTCATTTTGCCCCACAACTCGCGATCTCTAGGAGTCGCCTGCTCACGAAATATCTTGCCGATCTCGGCACCATCCTCGCATTCAGCAAAGCTAAAGCCCTCCCTCACAGGAGTCAAGCCTAATTGGGCCTGCACCCCAGCGCCCGCACTTGAACTCAAGTCGATAATATTTGGGGATTGATGATCAGAAGAACCACGAACCCTTTTGCGCGACGAAGAACCAATCGCGACCTCTTTCTTCTTGCGTTTCTCCGAAATGTCCATCTCGGCGACAACGTCAACATTATCAGGCAATATCGGCTGCGAGGAGGAATGTTGGACCAAGTCGCCAATATGGGTAGGAACCATCGGGTTCGTCTCGCCCTCTGGGATAATCAAATGAACTCTCTTCGCTGTAGAAGAGTTTGTTGAACTCCATTCCTTAAAAAAAAAAAAAAAAAAAAAAAAAAGAGAAAAGTGGGGGGTCAGAGTTAATAGAGGGCACAGTGATGCGCGCTGACAAAATCACATAAAGAGAACGAGGCTATACTTATGTTGTGGTAAGGAGTGGCAGTCAAGCTGAGCCACCTCAAGCCAAAATGAGTTAAGATGCGCGAATTCCGAGTTAATTTTTCCACATGAAACCAACCCGGGCGGACTAGATCCAGGAAATTCCTCAAAGTAGAGTCCATACGAGGTTTGTCAAAAGGAGGAGTTTCATTAATCATGCGAGTAGGAAAAGGGAACGGGGTAGAGGAAGAAATATAGACATAGTATCGATCCCAATAATGCACCTTATTGGGATACTTGTCCATGAACTTGGTACCAGCACGGGCGGCCAAGTAAAACATATAAGGGGAGTATTTCTTCGCAATGAAACAAGCGAATAAGCGATCAGCGGTCGGTTCTATTTTTTGCCACGACAATACACAATAGAAGACTGACATAAAGCGAATAGAATTGGGATGGAATTGATTGATGGGAATACCATACTTCTCAGAAACTGTGACGAAGAACGGATGAAGGGGAAGAGCGAGACTAGCATAGAACTGGCCTTAGTGAAAGGTTACACTGTTAGGAGGAGGAGAATGAGGTCGCTCATTCTCGCGAGGAGTCGCGATAGAAAAGCCTGAAGGAAGGCCCACGTCGCGCATAAATAACTCTATATGGCGAAGTGTCACGAGGGAGCTCTCTGAAATTCCTGCTTCCCCTGATTGGGCTTTTTTCCTAACCTTTTGGGTCACCGCCCGAGGCCCAAGGTTTATAAGAGGGCGAGATGTGTCAGAAAGTGTGTCAGAAGAGGAGGAGCCGGAGGATGAAGAACTAGAAGACGAAGATGACCCTATGACTAGAGAAGAATCCTCATTTGGAGGCAAGTTACGCTCGGCAGAAGAAAGGGGACGAAGAGATGACGATGAAGGATCGAAAGCCATGACACGACGACTCAGGAAATTACAAAGCAGAGAGGAAGTTTTTATAGACGAATTAAAGAACAAACAAAAATATATGAGGCAGAGAACGGGGAAGTACCTGATGCCTTAGAAAGAAAAGGAGGCTAAGGAACGCGCAAGGCTGGTTTTCACGATGAGCGAACTGGAATAAAAATAGCGAGTAGCAAAAAGGCGAGACGAGATAGTAAGTTTGGTAAAAGGAACGGATGAAATGGAAAAGATGGTATATATAGGGGAGGGGAAAAGGTAAGGTGAAACGATCCCGCAAAAGGGACCGTTGGATCAAACGGTGATGAAAGGCGGAGATTAAGACACGAGATCCGGGTAGCTGTAACGGGCGGAAAACTCTCAGACAGGTGTCTCGTCACGATTGAGCGGCGACAACTATCGAAAAGACGAGAAGACGGTACATTCCCCATGTGCGAAGAACGTGGGGCTCGAAACGCAGAGCAATAATGACGAAGCATTGGGAAGGGGCGCGCGTGCACAGAAATAAATACGTGGTGGAAAAAAGCTCGCACGAAGGATGGTGTAAAATCCATTTTCTCGTTCCCAGTTTTCCATGGTTCCCTCTCTCACTTCTATGTTTCAATCCATACCAAGTGTATTCTCCAGCGAACTATTTTTAGGTTCACTCGAGAATAGGGGGGACTAGATGATAGGTCCCAGTTTGTCAACCTAGCCATTTGTAATGGGCCTAGGAGCGAGAAGAGCTGCCCACAGAGAAATTGGGCCAATGGGAACGAAATGCGTGATAACTAAGCCCAAATATCGAGCAAAGCTCAGCTTATAAATTAAGATATGGTTTTCTCTCCAAGGCGCTCAAACAGGGCCCAGTGGAATTGGACTTGGGCTAGAAAACAAGGCTCAAGCAAGTTAATGGGCGACCGAAGCCCTCGTGATTAAGGCTGGGAGAATTGCAAGAGGGCGCGATTTCAGCATGAGAATAAGATGGAGAAGCAATCAGATCTTCTATATAAGGCCCAAAATCAAGACCAAAGAAGAAGGACGGGAGTAATGGACGTAATCTGTCCCCTTGATTGCCGAGAAACAATTAGCTTATAAAAACCTTTGTAACCCTCGTCCCAGGAGGACACAAGAAAAATATACTCAGGAATAAATAAAGAAAAAGAGAGAATAAAAAAGAAATAAATAAATATTTTTATAGAATTTCTACCAGGAAATCCATAACTAGGGCCCTGGTGGAAAATTCTTGAGGGTGCGAACTTTCGACACCCTCAAAAGAAATAGAGAAATTCGAAAATTCAAAAATAAAGAATGTGTCAACTGCGGTAATAAAAAAAATCGGAAATGAAAACATGAAAAAATACTGAAAATCGAGTATTAGTGAAAACACGAAAACTTGAAAGGTGTAGAGACAATTGAGGGGAGAACGGCAAGATTCATAGACTAAGTGCTTGAAATGTTATTTGAGGCAAAATCAGGGCTGGTCCACCGTATTTTGGGGGCCTGGGCAAAATACAAACTTGTGCCCCTAAGTAATACGGGGTTCTGTATCTACAAAAAAAAAAGAAATATAATAATACAGGGTTCGGCACAACATCCCCGATTTTGTTGAAAAATATATATATAAAATATAAACGTATTTAATAGTAAAATTATAAAATTGGAACGATACAGAGAAGATTAGCATGGCGCTTGCGCAAGGATGACACCCATAAATTGAGATATGGTCCAAATTATTATGGTAATCAAGTTTTTTTAACGAGGCCTCAACATGAAATAGTTTTTCTTTTAGCCAGTAAAAGTTAATAAAATTATATTAGAAAAAAATTATTTACTTTAACAAAACTAGTTTAATGTTAGGAAATAAAAAACCAATAATGATTACAAAAAGAATTAAATTGTAAATTATAGAAA